GTCCGCGCGGCGGCGGCGGGAAGGTGCGGAGGGCTGCGGCCGCCGCTCTGAGGGGGGACGGGCGCCGCCGCCGCCCCGGGGAAACCTGAGCGGGTCCTCCGGGGGGGCAACCGCAGCAGCGCCAGGGGCAGCAGGGCTCGGCGAGCGCCAGGCGTCGAGAGGCCGCTTTGGCCATTCGGCCTGCCGGCGGCGGGCTCAGCCCCGACGCCAGCAGCCTGCGCGCCCACGGCTCCTGCTGGACGGCTTCTGTGACCGGCCACCCTCCCGCCGTGTAGCGCTCACTTTCTCAGCGCTGTCTCCACGTGAATCTTCTCGGCGGTGCTCCGCCGACTGTTGGTGCTTTATTAGTTCTGGTAGTGGGATAATTTAAAGGAAGAAACATTTTACTGCTTGTAATCAGTACTGACAGCCTGTGGCCAAGTTAAAATCATCAAGGCAACGCCCAAACGCTGACTGCTTCGTTGCCGCTTTTACTTCTCTTGCGTCTTCTCTCTCTTTCCCGCCCGCTTTGTTTCAAACCTGGCTGGAAGGCGTTAGCCCCCTCAGCTGGGCCTGCCCTGCCTCCTTTTGGACCTGTTGGTGCTGAGGGGCCTACAGCCGTGGGCGTCGCCCCCCGGCCTCCATCAGCCCCAGGTGCCTTGGTGGGCAGGCAGTGAGCTGTTGGTCAGCTGCAGCTGGAGTTATCAGTTGGCAAGCTTAAGGAAATAAATATTTCCTCACACAGGAGATGGAGCTTAAATGTTGGGGTACTTCATTGCAGCAAGAATGCCAAGGTAAATAAAAGGAAATAATGTCATGTAGTAATTCACATATCTTTTGCTCTGTGAGCAAATTGCCCTCATAAGAGTGTCAATGGATGATGTCTCCTCTGCTCTCAGATGAAATCAGAAAGTTAAATCGTATCTTGGGAACCCGGGGTCTTCCCTCAAGCTGTAACACCCAGGGGTTAATTGACAGACATCCCTGGTTTATTCCTTGTTTGTAAGTCAAGATGGATACCTTCCTGAGAGAGGTTCTGCATTCGGAGAGTATCCTCATGTGGGTGACCTATCCTGAAAGTTCTCAGGTTAGACAATTTTCATAAGATGATGATGCAGTATCTAGGAGGTGTGTGTCAGTGGGGCAACCAACATGGTAATGGAAATTGGATGTGGTGGGTGGCATCAGTAGGAGAAGAAAGATCTGGTTCTTTACCTCAGTGAAGGAAGGTGGAAAGTTTCTGTGGTGACATCGATCTGATTTTGTTTGACTTTAGGATGAAAAGTATGACCTGAAAACTGGTGAATCATTTGAGGAAATCAGTGGACTGTTCTTAGAAAGCTGATAATCGTAAGTGATTTTACTATATAAAGCTGCTTTATTCTGTTGCTGTTACAGAAAGGCTTATTGATTTTCAGAGGCTGAGACTTGTTTCCTAAATTGATCTATCACTCTGTGGAATTGTTGTTTCTAAACGAACTGCCTCACTAACTACTTCTAAAATGTCCTTTTATTGAATTACTATGTACTTTTTATAAGGAAGCATTTTACAGGAAGAATTACTTTCTGAACTATGTAAACAGTACTACTGTTCCCCTTTAAAAGGCAGGGAAATGCAAAGACTAGAAATGAAGTTTCGCATGTTCAAAAGTAACCTAATGTTTTAGGTATTTCTTCTAGGTGGTTTAAATGATTGCTTCAGATCTATGTTTTCCCCTGATAGCAACCCAAGTAATTTCTCTGAAATTCTTGATGTGCTAGTCTTATATGGACCTTACGATTTGCTCTGTAAAAATTGTCAATCACAGTCTATTTATTTTCTAAAAGCTTAAAAAAAAATAAATTGAAATTAATCAGAAAAGTACAAAAATCAAGAAATGCAGAATTAATGGTGTTGCTAACTGTATTGCTAGGTCCTAAGAGCCTAATGAAGTTTAGGATCAGTTAACCTTTACAGAACAACCACAGAATCTGTTAAATGAATGACCCCTTAGAAGGATAACACTGCACTTGGTTTCTTTTGCTGTGGTAGAAATCTTGGTTTGCTCTGAAATATGTGTGTAATCTTTGTGGTATTGTGTGGAAGATAAAAATCCCAGTCAGCCCTCTTACGCTGATTAGCGAGGAACAGTGCATGCTGGCTGTGGGATGATGAAAATGATACTAGAATTCAATTAACTCTAATAATCTTCTTCAACTCAACTGTGCAGTAGTTGCAGGGTATTTTTTTTTTCTTTAAACATTCTGGCCAGTTTAGGGGGCTTTGCTAGGGAACATGCTAAGTATTCATATGTGTGTACACTCTTTGTTCTGATACAAATACTTTGTTCTGTAATTGTTCCTCCTTATGGAAAGCCATGAGGCACAACTGGGTGACCTTACCGATATGTTTTCAAGTATTTTACTGGTAATAAGAAAGGAAAAACCTATCAGAAAAGCAGCAGAAAACTCTTCTTAGGAGAGGTAGCCAACAAGCCATTAAAACTAAGAAAAGCAGGGGAACCTTAAGAGCTTTGTGTCTTCCTATCCAGTTTCACATTGGGTGCATTTTGAACAAGGCTAAAAGAACAGAACTAGCACAGGGGAACCATAGGGTGAAATCTCATCTTTGTCCCAAGAAAACCTTTTGCAGCAGAAACATTAATAAATGGGTATATTTGATGGTGGCCCAGCAAGGCCAGGATATTGTGTATTACACCTTACAGTTTCAGCACCAGGTCCTGGTTTGAGTTTCATCCTTGAGGGCAGCATCCATGCCTATGCCTTTGCCTTGGTGTTGAGCTGGTCCCAGTTGGAAGAGGCAGACTTTGTGGCTGGGCAGTGTGTGCTCCTGGGGCAGCTGTGCTTCGCTCGCCTCTGATAGGGGAGATTCAAGCCCCTGGCTGCACCCCCAAGGAGGGTTTTTACAAATGCTTGTTTGAAGGGACCTGTGCCTTTGCCCTGGGAGATAAAGGTAAAGATACCCATCTTTTTCTCAAGATGTACAGCATTATTTTGGTAGGTGCTTATTTGTGGTATCTCTGACACAATGTACTTCCTAGTGCAGGCAATAAGCTTGTAAGCAGTTTAGCCTAGTTACCCCACAGGTAGTGTGGGTAATAAACAGGATGGGCAAATGGGGTTGGGTGCAGCTATGTTGGTGATGGAGGAGGATGGTGATTGTGCAGCAGCAGCTCAGTTTCCCCCTGCCACATGAGACTGAGTAGATGGTGTAAGGGATAAAGGTTATGGGTGAGGGCACACAGCCGGGAAATCTATGTCGGTAACTTAATTGAGGATTGTAGTTCTGGACCCCTGTTGAGTACTTCATTTTCCTCATTTGTCCTTGGGAGGAAGATAAATTCTTTACCTAGATCCATATGAAGAGCATGGATTTACTGATTCTTTTCCCACTGTGTGCATAATAAATGATTTATTTCCCTTTTCAAAGTTTTAAGTGTTTTACTATTGCTGAAGGAGTAAGCAGGTGGCTGTTTACAACAAGAGCTTTCGATATGCTCACATCCATAGCAAAACACAGGAGTGTAAAACAGCAGTGGGCCAGAAACCTGTTGGAAAAGACAGCAGTGACAAAGGTTGCCCACATTCACTGCCAAAAATGCTCTTTTTTTTTTTTTTTTTTTTTTTTTTTTTTTTTTTTTTTTTTTTTTTTTTTTTTTTAGGCTGAGTGCCTGCCTTCTTCACTGTTTTTTGCATGAGGGTGAAGAGAGGACTTTTCTCTTTGTGGTAGTGTTGGCTGCTTATTTAGGTTGTATATTCTGTCCTCTTGTTAATATAGTTCCAAAGTGAGCAAGTCAGAGGGCATGTACGTTCTAATTAGTAGTTATCTGAGACAGCTCTCAGAGCAAAGACTTCTTTTAAATTGTTTTGGATCTGAACATACTGTATCTACTTGAATGACGAAATGTTAGTAAGCAAAAAAGCCAAAGTTCTTTGTAGGAAGGCAATTGCTGCATAGCAACTGCACAGAGAGGATGCAATGAAGCTTGCGTGTGTTCTCTTTTGTTGCTATTTTTGTCCTCATTTTCTCCATGTTCTGCAACGTACAAAAATTATTAAAGTTATTGGAACCAGTTATTTCATTCATTGCTACTTATGCTCAAAAAAAAAAAAAAAGAGAAACAAACAATGCAGTTTGCTTTCTGTATTTTGGGAAGTAATAATAAAGGGAATTTAATATGTCATTTACTAATGCTGTGTCTGGATGCTATGACTGAATTTTCAAACGAATATGGTCTTTAATGTATATGAAGTGTATGGAAAGAGAGCAAGGCTAAAGAAATATAAAGACTCTCCATAATAGCAGATGTTCTTTCCAGTCTCAATTTTTGTATCCATCTAAATAAATTTCTGTTGTCTTAAAAGATAACCAACACTACAAACCCAAAACATACCATAGTTGTTAAAACATAATTCAACTTTGAATTTAATGGGGTCACCATAAACAGATGGGAAATAGTTACTTGGAATGATAAATTATCTTGTAGTATATCTTCAAAGCAGTGGACTGACTGGTTTAGCAAAAGGAAATTTGGGGAGTAATGGGATTGTAAAGTGATTCTTAACTGCTAATAAACTTGAGAGTAAGGTTTGCTGTGTTGAATAGTGTCTGTGGAAAGCCTGTTAAACCCATACAAAATACAGGAGGCTCTAGTCTGAACTGTATTTATGGATGTGTCCTACACCAAGCCCACATTAGGGGATTTCACCAGCCCCACAGCTGATTTGGGATTATGAGGTCCCACTGCAGCAGAATCAATATTACTCTGAGCTTCATAATTTTTCTGCAGTAGCACAGAAACTTGCAGGGCATTGGGTTTAAGAGCAGGAATACAAGCAGGAAGGAGGCCTATTTACTGGGAGGTGACATCAGTGGGAGGGAATCATATGAAGCCTTCCACTTAAGTGTGAATGAGTCCCAGCAGTCAACCCTAAATGTAGCCAGGTGCAAGGTGAATCAGCTACTTGTTAAAAACATCCCATTCTCTATCAACTTGGTCTATCATGTTCAGTGTCTATATTATAAAGGAGGAAAAAATGGTGTTCTTTGTATTTCTAGTAACATGATATTGTACCTTCATGTTTTCGGAAGGCTGTAGTAGAGGCAGCTGAATTAGTGTGACTCCTCAGTAGCTAAAGAAGAAAATGGGGGATGCACATTTGAAAGGGAAGGCAGAATCTTTTCCTTTAGTCCAATAAAGGTGGAAATTGTGCGGAGTGGCCTTTTTTGGGTAGCTACTCTTCTCTGCAGTAATGGCAACAGTAAAAAGGTCCCTCCAAGTGTTTAACAGTTCTGGAATAGGTCAAAGGGGCTAATTAGCTAGTGCAAACTAGCTAAGCATCTGAACCAGGTAAAAGTAATTCCTATGATTAAATATAATCCTAATAATTTGTTGCTTATGTTTCTGTCGTCCACCTTGATTATTACAAATTTCATTCACAACAAATGTTATTTATAAACAATGTCCTTTTATGTTTGTACCTTGCCAAATGATAACGTGAGAGCTGAGTAACCAGAATGTGTATGCTATTCTCTGGCAATGGGTATGAAGATCCTTCACACCCTCCTTGCCCTAGCAAAGCACTGCCCTCCAGGACAATTTAAACGTGGTATGCCAAGGGATAAATGGAGTTCTCCTTCACTGATCTGTAAGGGCTGTACGTTGAAATCCAGCAGCCATCTTTAACCAAAAATGTCCTGTGGCATGCAGTAAGGCAGTGAGAAGTCTGTGTTTATAATAAAACATTCGATTCTCTCTTCCTCCCATTTCAAGTTTTTGGGAAGACTCCCTTTGATGTCATTAAGGGGCAGGAATGTAACTAAGAGCTGAGGTTAGCAAGTACATGATCTTCGGGCTTGCAACAGTGGCTTCTGAGTGGGCTGAGTTACAGAGAGTGTTCCAGATTTGCTGAATGGGGACCTGGATGAGATAATTAGAAAAGCAGGCTGAGAAACAGGTCTTCTGCGAAGCTCTCTGATATGAGTTATTTCTGACAATGACATAGATCTTTGGAATTCTGTAATGTATTGCGTTCACTGGGTATTGGGAAGAGCCTTATTAGGGAAGGCTGACTGTTTGGGCTGACTAATGCCACTCTTTCATGGTCCTCTGCAAGATCTGTGAACTTTAATCACTTGATTTAGGTAGCTCAGGAGATTCTTCAGGCAGTATCACTGTGTTTTGAGCTTCTCAAGGAGGAACATGGGTCTTCTACACAGCAGAGGCTCACCTAGTGTTCATAACACCCTCCACAGACTCTGTAACGGGCAGTATTTTGGCAAAGTACAGAAAAGTCAGGGCCAGATACTTCGCTGCACTTACAGGTCTCTTTGAGCACCAGGCTTTTAT